ACTATCCTGTGTTGGATGTTCAACTCGAGTAGGGACTACCTGAATCCATGAAAGAGTATTTTGAGAAGATAGAACTAACTTATCCTTGTGGAGGAAACCATACCTTGGTTTCTACATCATCAATACTCAATAAAGCTATAAAATAAAGAAGGCTCTAATGAGGGTAGAGAGATTCTCACCCTCAAACACATGAAAAGGTGTGTAAGTTACCTAAATTCATGAAATAGCAACAAGGGATGAGATTCAATCTACTCTTACGGAGAAAACCCTTCCTGGACTTCTACATCAATAAAAACAATCAAAATAACAGAAAAGGAGAAACTCTAATGATAAGAGAGGGCTTTCTTTCTACTTATGAAAATGAGTATAAACTACTCAAATTCATGTAAAAGAGGTTCGGGAGGAGAGATCCGGTCTCTTTTCATGGAGGAAGCCGTGCGTAGATTTCTAACTCATGATAAATCAAGAAAAAGCAAGTCGGACTTGGCCAAAGTCACTATACATGCCTCCACTAGCTACAGAAAGAGGTAGAAGAAAGAATCCAACTATACTATCAACAACAACCCAACATTGATCTTAAGATCTCAAGATTACTCTGATAAGAATAGAAATTACAAGAAACTTGAGAATGGAAGTAGGGATTATCTCTAAGCTAGTAGAGATAGGGCCCAAGCTGGTCATTGTTGGATTTGGGAAATTATATTTTTATATTTATAGTAGTTTGCTATGAAGCATGGGTGTGGGAATGGATATGATATGGGTACACCGATACGATAAATTCTTAAAAAAGTAGGGTACAGGTACGGGGACGATTATGGTACGTCAATTTTTTTTTTTTTTAAAAAAAACTTATAGCTAAACATTCAGCATACAAATCAAAGTTTCAATATCAAAACTAAAAAGAGAGTAACTTATCTAAAAAGTTATATAATTATTTATTTTTCTTTTTTGATTGTCTAAAATAGGATGTAAAAGAGAGCATAACTGTGATTTGTGATTTATGGGTAAAATTCTTAAAAAAGTAGGGTACAGGTACGGGGACGATTATGCTACGTCAATTTTTTTTTTTTTTTAAAAAAAATTTATAGCTAAACATTCAGCATACAAATCAAAGTTTCAATATCAAAACTAAAAAGAGAGTAACTTATCTAAAAAGTTATATAATTATTTATTTTTCTTTTTTGATTGTCTAAAATAGGATGTAAAAGAGAGCATAACTGTGATTTGTGATTTATGGGTAAAAGGTGTTGGAAATAAATTACTTGATATTATCAAAATCGAAAGAAGAATAATACAAATTATAGTAGCTGCAAAAAAAAAAAAAAAAAAAAAAAAAGTTTCACCTCGCCGTACCAGTGTCATACCCATGATGTATCCAAATGTATTTGCCATACCCGGCATGCATTCGTCGTACCTAATGCACATACCGCCGTATCAGTATGCGTACCCGCACCCGGTAAGTACCCGGTACTTGTACGACATCATTTTTGGAGTACTCGTGTTCCATAAGTAGTTTGTATAAAATCCGTGATTGTATAAATCACATATTTAGTGCCGTAATTTCTTTGTTTCCTAAATTGTAATATTCATTCCTTATATATACATGGCTCTACCTCATTCAAGGGTAAGCCAAACATTCTTCATTCTTTTTGGTATCAGAGCCAAGTTTTAGAAACCCTGGACCACCTTCTCATACCTGTCAGCACCTCTCCTTCACTGCCCAGCACTTTCTTTATCTCCTTCCTTCCTTCTTTAGTTGCCGTCAACCCTCCTCTCCTCTCTAGACCACTTGACAATCTCACTCACCACTCCTAGACCACGCGAAATCACTTACCCTTTGGTAAGTTGGATCACACCTGCTGAGGCTCATCTTGCTGTTGACCAAGTTTCATCCTGGTCTAGAGTGATTCGACACCCCCTCTAGGGTGGTTCGGCTCCTATTTTTTCCCCTTTCGGGGGTGTAGTGCTAATGTATTAAGCACCTCTCTTCTGTTTTCGTTGCTTGTTGGGCTAGCAGGGTTTGTTTAGTAGCAGTTCTTGGGGTAAGTTATCGTTTTTCTTGCTCTTTTGGACTTATTTTTTTGCTGTTATTAGTGCATTGGTGTGTGATTTATAGACCCTTTCTCCTTCACTATGATTGAGCCACCTTCTACTGTGGCTATTGAGGTTTCCATGAAACCCGTTCCGGTTAATCCTGATTTTTCTCTTTCTTATCACTCATGTTCACTGTATTATAAGTATAGTGTAAATAGGAAAAATTTTGCTGCTTGGAGTCATTCCTTTAAACTATATTTAGGGGGCAAGGGGAAGGCTCATTGGTTTTTACCTACTATGACCCAGCTTGCAACCACAGATCCTACTTGTATCCAGTGGGATATTGACAATTGTACTATCCTGGGTTGGATGTTCAACTCCATGAGGGACTGGATTTATCATATATTCCTCTACTGTGATATTGTGCCGAGCCTATAGAGTGTATTGATATAGATGTATGCTCATGCTCATAATGATGCTCTCATCTTGAGTTTTATCAGGATATTGCTCGTGCCTCTTAGTCTACTTTGGGTCTCTCTATGTTGGAGTTCTTTGGCTATCTTTAGGCTCGTTGGGAAGAATTGGCTGAATAAGAGCCCTTGACTGAGTTACTGACAAAACTTGCCTCGCTTGTGTCCAAGTGACCGTCAACATACTTTCCAGTTTTTGATGGGTTTAAACTTTGAATTTGAATCTCTTCGAATTCAAATTTTAAATACATCACCTGTGCCATCTCTCTATAAGGTTTTCGCCACCATTGACAGTGATGAGCGTCGTAGGTGTCTTGGTCAGCCTAGCCCTCCTCCGATGTCATTGGTTTTATCTGATCATATGGCTCTTACCGCCAATTCTAGTTCTCGGGGCTCCATTGGTTCAGGGACTTGTCATCATTGTGGTACTCCACTGGTTTAGGCTCAGCTTGTGTCCCTCACCACTAGTTCTCATGATCCATCCTCTACTGCAACCACTCTTACTCTAGGTACTTCTACTGCTTTCCATGTTCGGTCTGCTAGTCCTTTATGGATTCTAGATTCTGGGGTTAATGATCATATGACAGATGAGTTTTCCTTTCTTTCGTCTCTAGTCCCTATTACTATTGCCCAATCTGTTTTCTTGCTGATGGTTCTTCATCCTCTATTCGTCATAAGGGTGTGGTGTCTTCATCTCCTCACATTACTTTATCTTCTGTTTTACATGTCCTCAATTTTGCATATAATCTCTTATCTGTTAGTCATCTTGCCGAAACCTTTAATTGTTCTGTCATCTTCTTATCCTCTTCTTATTTTTTAAAGGACCTGAGTTCAAAGAGGATTTTTGACAAGGGTTATGAGCGTGATGGGCTTGACTACTTTAGGAATCCATCGGACGGACTTTTTTTTTAGTTTTTTGGTGTCTGTTTTGTCTACTTCTATATCTTGTTCCTGTACTATTTAGATTTTCAAATTTATGGCATGCACGTATGGGTCACGTCAATTTTCAATATTTATGTCGACTTTTTTCTTTATTAAATAAAGCTTGCAAAGATTCTAGATTTCACTGTGTGGTTTTTGAGTTATCTAAACATACGCGTACTAGCTACGTCTCTCATATGATCCATGCCCCCAGTGCTTTTGATCTTACCCATTCTGATGTTTGGGTTCCTTCTTCTATGACTGCTTTTTCTGGTCATAGATATTATATCTTTATTGATGATCACACTGGGTGCACTTGGGTTTATTAGCTTCGTCAAAGTCTGACACGTTTTCCATTTTTGTTTAGTTTTTGGAAATTGTTAAAACTTAGTTTCGTGCAGTTGCTAGGAACATTCGTTCTGATAATGGTGGGTAATACAGTTCTAATGAATTTCGTTCCCATCTTAATTAGATTGGTATTCTTCAACAACTTACTTGCCCTCATCTGTCATGTCCTGCATCTTTTGAAATTTTTTGTCCCATGTGATGTGTCTGAGCTTCGTAGGTGACAAGTCATTCGAGCTGAGCCTGCTTGTGAACTGATTTGAACCTAGCTCAAACAGAAATATTCAAGCCCAATTTTGAGCTTTAACTAAGCTCAATCACGCTCTTTTCTCAGAGAACCAAGCGCGAATACCTCATACTTGGCTTAGCACACGTCATTTATTTGCAGGCCTAGTGCTAGCTCTGAATAATGTTAATTCCTTGAAAACTGGTTCAAGAAAGATACCTAGGTTAGCTATGTTGGACACTTGGACCAAGTATTATTGTTTTAAATTTATTGATAACTTGTTAATAGATTCTTTTTAGTATTACTTTGCTTGGAATCTTTTGTTATTTCCTTCTCGTTGAGTGTACGAGTAATCTTTTGAGTGCAGGTACGTTTAAGCTTTCTCTGCAGTTCTCAGAAGATTACCCGAACAAGCCACCAACGGTCCGTTTGTGTCACGGATGTTCCATCCAAAAAGTATGTCATCATCCTTGTTATAAATCTTATTGTTGATAAATTACAGGCTGCCATTGTTTTCAATCTACATTTATCTATGATCTTTGCTACCTGGAGTTATGTGGGTATTCCACTTTTCTGACAGTCTCCGGAATCAATCAGTCTATGCAGACGTGAGTATATGCTTGGATATTTTACAGAATCAGTGGAGTCCTATATATGATGTGGCAGCTATACTCACTTCTATACAGGTTTGGCCTCTTGATTTTAAGAAAGAAATGATGGGTATGTTTGGTTTGCATTTGGGAGATGAGTTTTAGAAAAAAATTTCTAAAAAATTGTTTGGTTTGAGTTTTTCTCAAAAAATTTCCAAAATTACTCTCTCTCTCTTACACATCAATCAATCAATTTTTCTCTTTCCTCTCTCATTCTCCAAAAATATCAAATCATCCCAAACTCCAAAAAAAACAACTCTCCCAAAATATACAACCAAACAATCCAAAAAATTTCTAAACTCTCTCCCCAAATTTTTTTTCAAAAACAACTCACCCAAAAACAAACCAAACAAGCCCGATATGTCCTCTCAATGTTTTGAGTCTTTTAGTTTTTGATTTTTTTTTTCAAAAAAAAAAAAAAAAAAAAAATTACATATGGGTTATTGCTCTTTTCATAAAACGTCACTTCTATCCAGGTTTGCCTCTTGATTTTAAGAAAGAAATGATATGTTTAACTTTTTTATTTATTTTATTTTATTTTATTTTTTGTTAAAAAAAATAAAAATTACAAATTACATATGGGTTATTGCTCGTTTCAAAAAACTTCAGTGTGTTTGAGATTGCCATCCTTGAAACTTCCTTTCAAATTTAGGTTTGTGTTTTATAGAATTTTCAATTATTCCCATCTTTAACCTTAGTTTTTATAAAAGTTGATCAAGTGAAGTATGAATAGTGGATGTTTCTTGACTGTTCACAAATAATAGGGATTTTGATCCTTTTGAATCTACATAGTACCAAGTCCAAATTTTTGAAAGTAAGGCAAAAAGCAAATATAAGAAAAACATAGAGGCTACGCAATTCACGTCCATGACATTGATCATCAATATTTGCATCTCATTGAGTCCTTGACACAGGCTGAGTTTTGACCACTTCATTGTACAACTTATTGGGAGATTAATGGCACTGTAATCGTAACCTATCAAAGGAAAAAATAATAAATGAATAAAACTAGTGGAGATGGAGATGGAAAACAATGACCATCAATATTTGTTAGAATTTACCATCACCTACCACCACTACCACCTCACCTACTCCACTAAACCTAACCCACTACACCACTACCACCTCACCTACTCCACTAAACCTAACCCACTACACCACTACCACCATCCACTACACCTACATCTATATAAGGAACCATTTGTAATAGAACATTATATCAATCAATAATAATACATACAATTTATTCTCTCTCTTTCTCTATACATTATTTTTTACAATATTTGTATCTCATTGAGTCCCTGACACAGGCTGAGTTTTAATCACTTCATTGTACAACTAATTGGAGATTAATGCCATTGCAATTGTAAGCTATCAAAGGAAAAAGTAATAAAGGGAATATTACAAAACAAACCTCAGGGTTTGAGCCTTGTAACAAAATAAACATTGAGTTTTTAATTTTGTCAATGTAAACCTTAATCTTTTGAATTTATTTCAAATCTAAACCATTCGGTTATTTTCATCAAGTAAAATTGTCGAAAGTAGTATATTTTAGTCATTAAATTTAATGAAAATGGATATTTTAAACATTTTTTTGTACAACTACATTGAGTTTAATGATTAAATTACTTCTTTTTTTTTCCGTTAGTTTTTACTTGACAAAAATAGGCAGATGATTTAGATTTGAAATAAATTCAAAAGATTAGGGTTTCAATTGATAAAATTAAAAGCTCAAAATTTATTTTGTTACAAGGCTTATACTTTTTTTTTGTAATTTCCCCAATAATAAATGAACAAGAACAAGTGGAGGTGGAGCTGGAACATTTGTGTTCAAAAAATATGATAGAATCGGTAAACCAATCCAATCAGGTCCAAATTACCAGTTTGGTCTTGGTTTTTTTTTAACTTCGGTTCTAGTTCTAGTTTGGAGATGATAGAACCATACCGAACTGTGATGTATTTGTTTATTAATTTCTACTATTTTTGTATTTGAAAATAAGATAGTAGAAGCAATTAGTGAGCTTCAAACACTAGTCTTGATTGTGAAATCAACTAGCTTCAACCAACTCAACCATGCTGGTTGTTTGTTTGTTTACTATTATAAAATATATATCATATCTCCTAATATATAAAAATTTGAGAACCATAGAACAGAATAGAACCGAACCAAACCGGTTTCTATGGTTTGGTGTTGCTCCGGTTACATAAGTTAATGGTTTGGTTGCGGTTCTACTTTCTTGGAACCGTAAGGATTGGTTTGGTTTTTGTCTGATCCATGAACACCCCTAATATAAAGGCAACCCACTTGTTTTGAATGGGTATTGAGCAGTCTATTTAGAAATTGGGTTGTACTAAGATTACAAGGGGTTTACAAGAATTTAATCTGATTAAAAGAAGGTTTGGGATTTGGCTCTGCAAAGTTGAACCAACAAATAATATTATTTTTAATCTGTTCTTACGTTTTACCAGTAGTAATAAATATGATTGGTTTTTCATATAAATTTGGGTAAATTACACTTTTCCCCCTTAAGTTTCACTATTTTTTTACTTTGGCCCTTGATATTTCTAATTTTTCCCAATTTTCTCTAAAAACAAATTCTCATCCAATTTTAAACAGAATTTATCTTTGGCAGCCATGTGATGCCTTGAGGCATAAAACGTACTTCACTACAATCCAAACCCAAAAATCCCAAACCCAAATCCAAATGCAAATCAAAACCCAAAATTCAAAACCCAACCCCAACCCATTTTCTCTCCACTTCCTAAGCTCTGCTATTCTTTCTCTTAACTCCTCTCCTCCTCCATCACCTGTTTCCAGAATCCCCCGCCACTACTCCCTTCCACCACCCTCCAGCCCTTGAACCCCATCCTGAGACCTCCCTCTGTCTTTCGCCCTCCAGGCGACATCCCTCTTCAGTTTCCTAGCCTACAACCTCCACGTACTACTGTCCCTCTCGGCCCTCCCCCCACCCCGCCTTGTTCTTCTTGTCTCATAGAAGCTCTCTCGCATTGTGGTGATGGTCTTGATCGCCGAGAAGCTTGTAGAAGCAATTGGTGTTGTGGATCTGGTGGTCGTGGATCTTCTTGCAGGTGGTGTTTTTTTCATTTTGATTTCAATTTGGGAATTTTTGTAAAAATGAAATTATGGTTTGTAATGAAGAAGCTTAATACATTGTATAGATATATGACAGAGAGAGAGAGAGAGAGAGAATGCGAGGAGAGCAGTTGGTATAAATCTGGGAATGGCAGAATAGGGGAATAAGAGATGATTGAAGTAGGACGTGGAGGGAGGGGGTAGAGTGGGGGATGCTCGAAATGGGCAGTGGAGGGGGAGAGGAGGTGAGAGAGAGATTTGCAGAGGTTAGGGAGAGAAGAGAGAAAGAGGGTTAGGGTTTGGATTTTATAAAAATGTTTTATAAGCCATGTGGTGCCATGTAGCTGCTGACGTGGCACATTCTGCTTAAAATTGGACAGAAGTTAGTTTTTGGAACAAATTGGAAAAAATTAGAAACATTAAGAGCCAAAGTGGGGAAAAAGTACTTTTAAGGTCAAAGTGAGAAAATGGTGAAACTTAAGTTGGGCAAAGTGTAATACATACCTATTAAATTTTTGAAAAACTAGGTGCTGAATTGAATTTGGTTGACCCAATTTGGTTAGTTGCATTTGGGTCAGTTCAGACAGGTGTGAATCTGGTTGACCCAATCTGGCTGCATGCTATCTGCTGTTTGTCGTGATGATTGGAGCAATTGTTTTATTCAACAAGTTTTGAGCTCAGTTTGAAACTCTTCGTCTTTTTGATGTTCTACCTGTAGCTTCAGAACTTTGGAAGGTTCCACAAATTTGTTCATTAATCATCAAAATTGTTGATATTTTTATTTGGCTTTCTTCAACACTTACCGTATTTTCACTATATTGGCATAAATTGTTTATCCTATTTAGTTTGATCATCTGAGTTTGCTTATTCGTTCATGTAATAATGATTAATCTAATCTTGAGCCACCTTGCAGCAAGTGTGCTTTTGAGGTTCTCAATGTTTTTTTGTCATGGAAGCTTATTAGATTTTTTTTTTTTTTTTTTCTCTCTCCAGTCACTGCTTTGTGATCCAAACCCGAATTCCCCCGCAAATTCTGAAGCAGCTCATATGTTCAGGGAAAAAAAACCTGAATTGTGGGGCAGAGCTGGACTGCTGACTAAAAGTCCAATTAAAAGCATCACCCCCGCCCACCAAACCAAAAATAAAGTCAGGAAGTGGTGGTAGTGGTGGCTTCTGCAAACCTTTGTGCTTAATTATGTAACATGCTTTGTGTGTATTGCTTTTAGAGAATTGCTTTGAAGGAGTTGTTTCTGCTTTTAGAAAGCTCTGGTTGAAGTCTTGATACTCCACTCCTGATTCTTCTTTTTCATCAAGTTTCATGTGTCCATCCAGTTTGTAGCCATTTGTATAGGAAGTATTGTTGTGTCCTCTTGAACCATTGGCAGTGGACTTAGTACTTTGCTTGGGGGCAATCAGAAAGAGCTTTTCTAGTGTAATGATGATTTAAACAGTATTTGATCAATAAGAGAGCTTTTCTCCAATGATGAGGTTTGAAGATTGCTATTTCTAAATATTAGCATCAAGTTAAAATTTTCTTCTCTAATTGGCTGGTTAAAAGGCTTGCTATATTTTAGCAATGCTATACTTTGTGCCAGCTCAACAAAGTTGTCCAAAAACATTATTCATCTTCCCAACTCTATTTCAGAAACATGTTCATCTTCCCGCAACAAAAATTGTAGAAATTAACAGAAATTTTTTTGAAACAATTTCAGAAATCGGCAAATAACTCGACGAAACTCCAAAAATAGAATAAAATAAAATAAAAGGATCATCATGCAGGAAACACTGATCAAGCTTAGCTTTTGCTTTATGACTATAAGATTTTTGTTTACAAGAAATTACACCAAATAAGCTCAATGTTTCAATATACAAAAAAAAGAGTCAATGTTTCATTTGCCTATGTCCCAGATATTTTGTGGAAGTTAATATAAAAAGGGAGGTTGCCTTCAAATAAAAAAACACACTCCAAGGAATTTCTCTTCCTGTTCAGATTTTAAATTTGTGGACAAATTTGTGAGCGATAGAAAAAAGTGAATGAAAAACTGAATAAAACAGAAACTAAGTAAGTTGTAGAGGGATATAGATTTTTTCACTAGTTCATTTTTATTTTTTATTTTTTTTTATTCTCTTTACAAATCAAGATCCAGACACTGCTGGGTAATTTATAGCGGTAGTGTTACATGCATAAATTGGTATACCAAATAGTGTAACAACATATGTTATGATATTGTCATTTCAAGATTATGACCACACTCATTATACAAGTTACAAAAACTCAAAACTTCTAAAATGATATCAAATCATCTGTTAGTATACTAATTAGTATACTAATTGGTGTATGTAGTATTATTAAATTTATAGATACTTTAGTATATATATTTATCAGGTCTTTCAAGTAAAACATGTAGGATTTACAATTTGATTTTAGATACGTAACAGAATTTTGACCTTTCGATACCATAATTTATTGATACATTGATTATTTGATATATGATCCTATCACCGATTTCGATACTTATTTAAAACTACCCTCATGTGGACACCATGTATAAGATAACGACACTGGCTATTTATCATGCAATTTTGACGAGTTTCATGGCAAAGCTATTATTAGAGATCATTTATTTGGGTAAAAAAAAATTCTTACTTGGCCAAAAAAAAAAAAAAAAAAAAAAAAATGAAAAAGAAAAGAAAAGAAAGGAAGCATTTGAGTTGATTCATTGATTTAATTATGATTTCAAACATATTATCCAAATGCACATCATAGTGAATATTTTATTATGATAACGCTAAAGACAATTAATAATTACAAAATAAATTTAGTAACACACAAATTGTAACACACTTAACTTTTTTATAATTACAAAATCAAACAGTTACCTTTTTTATATATTAAATTTACATCTTTACTATTTGTAACATACTTGTAACCATTTCAGTTTGGCACTTGAAGATCCAACATGATAATAAGAAAGGACAGTGATACCATAAGGATAAAGGAAGAATGAAGAGAAAGAGAAGTAGCTTTGGATGCATAGAAGTAGTAATAAGGATAGGTGTAATTGCCCTGTCCCATATTGGGAGGCGCCTTACCAGAAGGAAAGTTCTTATAAGCAGGAGGTGGGGGATTGGAGTAGCCCCATGAAATATAAGATGGCGGTGGAGGAGATGGCGGTGGTGGTGGCGGTGAGTAATAAGATTCTGGTGGTGGTGAGTGGTGAACCGGATGCGATGGTGGTGGCTTTGATTCTGGTGTTTGTGGTGGCGGTGGCGGTGAGCATATAACAGGACAAGTTCCACACTCACTGATACAGACCAAACCTGCTGCTGCTGGCATGCTGGCGGCTTGTTGATCACCCTGCGATGTTGCAAGTGTAGCGAACAAAACCAAGTCCAAGATTGCAAGCCTCATCAGCAGCAACACAAGCCACTTTCTTCTTGGAGTTGGAGATGATGACGATGATGGTAGAGGTAGAGGTAGAGTCTTGGCATAATGATCCATCTGAATTTCATTCAGTTCAGTTGGCTGCATAAACATATAAGTCTTCAAACAATCAACCAGTTTTACACCTTTCCTTGTTAAGCTGATATCTGTTCTTTTATTTGTGACACAAAATGCTTCTCATATATACTTGCCTCTGCTTTGTGTTTTTAGTGACTTTTTAAGTTTATTTATAGTTGGGGAGGGACTGAGCCAAACATGACCTAGACAGAGATTCCTTTACCCCCCAAGGCAGGCCACCTCCATCTCCATGTGTGTGTTTGGCTCTTCCCAAACCAAAAGTATGATCTAGAATCTAGATAGAATGCTTCTTTTACAAAAGAAAAACTCAAAGTGTAAAGGAGATGGGACAATTTCATCCACCTTCCTTGTTTGTTTGATCTTTCTATAAAGGCTTTGGCTTGAACTTTACCATTTCCTAAGGCTGCCTAGCTGGATACTATTATGAACTAATAAAATGAACTGATGTTGACAAGGTACATATGGATTGGTGTCTCATTCGATTGATTTTGGAATTCTGCATTCATTTGCTTTTGGAATTATATTAATATATACTATACTATGTTTGAATAAAGTGGATTTAACTTATGTCTTTCATCTTTTGGTGGTGAATTGTTATGTGAGGATCAATAATGCTACAGAGTTCGAAATTTTTTTCAGAAAATAAAGTGATTGGACAAGATTCATTCTGGGTGTGATCCAAATTATACTAAATTTGAATCTAAACCACATTTTTTTCTTATTTTCAGACTACTTTTCCAATTTCCCTGATTTTTTATAAGTCATGGTAACTCCATTTTCATCCATTGTGGGACAATGGGTCCCTCCCTATTGAGGTAAATCTGACTTTCTAGTCTGAGCTAACAAAATAGCAGACATTTTGTTTAGGAATTTTATTATTATTATTTTTAAAATGATACTCTGTTCATTGATATAAATAAAGCCACAATGAGTGCATTTGGATCTGGAAATCGAGTAAACGCGACAAATGATAGTGATAAGATTAGTAGTGGCAATTACTTACTTACTCTTGTCATCTCTTTAGACTTTGTTGTGTATTTTTGTATTGTTGAATGCTGCTGTCATTTTCATGAGGGGTGGGAAGGAGAGGGGAATCCAAAGCTAAAGCTAAAGCAAAGGTATTTTAAATAGCAATGACATTCTTCTTCTTGATCTATCTTTTCTTTGATACCTTTCTCTGAACATAATCAATCCACCTTTGTGTGTGGCCCTGTGGGCATCAATTCTCCCTTCACACTTTCACTCTTTATGCTTTCTTCTTATATATATATATATATATATTTGTTATGCTTTTCTTGTGAGGCTGGGATAGCTTGCCTATCCTCTCTATCAACTTACATATCCATGATATATTTTTATATGATTACCTTCACTAGTAGCCTCTGATTTTATCCTTAAATTCAGCAGTGAATGACTATAATACTCTCAGAAGAAACTTTATGTGGAACTGAACTAAACACCACCATCTCATGTACTTCTCTTTTCAAGTGTGAAAGATTATGCTATATAGCTAAAAATTATTATAAGCAACCAAAGAGATGCACTGCTTTGATAACATGTAGGCATAGAAATACATATATGTGGCCTAATAAAAAATGTCAAACTAGAGTTATGGTTAACAATGAGCATTGAGAGAATGTAAAACTATTATTACAATTCATACCAATTAGGCACACTGCAAGAAAAGGGTTTTCCCAGCATTTTTAGAAAGAAAAAAAAAATGATGCATTTTTAATAACCAAAAGAACATAATTTCATTGACAAAAATACTGTCACCAATTAGAGCCCGTTTCATCACAAATATCTTTCATGTTGTTGCTAAATAATTGGGGAAATTTTTTTTTGTCGCAAATGTTAGTCATATGCGAAGAATTCATTTTCATTGCAATAAGGGTATAGGTGACGACACTTTTTTGTGTATGATAGACGGCCAATTTCAATGAATATATATTTCATCACAAAAAGTAGTATCGATGACAAAAATTGTCATCTCTGAAAGTTTATCATTATCGAGGAAATTTGTTTCGTTAGCAGAAAAAATATTCGTATCCAAAAATTTAGTTTAATGAACTTTTCGTGACTACATTGGTATGGTTAGGGCCAGCTCTGGGGGCAAGTTGGCAAAGCCGCCGCTTCGGTCTTCCATTTGAGCTGAAAAATAGGGTCCCATGTAAAAAAAATTCTTATAATATTGGGTAATTTTTTTTTTCTTAAGACCTCAATTAAATGAAAAGCCTCAATTATGTTGATCACACTTAACTCTAAGCTCTTAACGCCAAACTCAAAAAAACAAAACAGCTGTTATAAGTGGATGTTTCTCATTTCTTCAATTTTAATTTACCAAAACCCAATTATGTCCAACGCTTAATACCAAACCTAAAAATAGTATACTATTATTATTATAGGAGGGCTCTATGTAATTGATTTCACTTTACCAAACTGCTCTCCTACCCAATTCACCATTTTGATATTGAACTTCTTTGGTCTTAATATTTCATGTAGATGACTTTAAATTTTGTATCATTTCAAAATTTTACTTAAACTACTTGTTCACTTTACTTAAAAATTGAAATCTCTATAATTGAATTGACTAATATTGAATCTCAACCAAGAGCTCTTGATTCAATTTTACAACTACAAATGCAAAAACAGTAATGTTTAAGTGATAATACGTTCAATTAATTTATTACTCTAGATTGTTGTGTACTATTTTTTCTTTGTTGTGTAAATGGTTAAATATAAAACAATAATAGTAAATTTTATCATTTTAAAATTTAAATAACTATTTTAAATTGATTTTATCTTTTCAAGTGATATGTAAAATTATAGGGCCCCAAATTAACGCTTCGCTTTCGGGCCTTTGAATGTTCAGGGCCGGCCCTGGATATGGTTGATGCAACTTTTCATCTTTTGATAGTTGGTCAATAACGAGCAATGGAAGTTTCATAACAAAATATGGATCATTAGGGAGAAATGATCAACAATACATTACTTACAAATGATCAACAACATCACATCTTCTATTTCATTTATAATTTTGATCAATACAAAGGATGATATAAGCGATATACATTCATATATCCTAAATTCTGAATGTATAGCACATGGCAGGGATACATGAATTAAAATAAAAGAAAAATCAAAAAATTATATGCCCTACTGGCTATATCTTTCTAAGTCCATGCTTGGGTATAACAAAATGAGTTTAACTCAATACAATTAAAGCCTGAGGCTTAAATAAAATAATTACATCAAATAAACAAAATGAAGCCCTTAGCTCCAAGTCCTCCCAAGCTACGTCCTTGGTGAAAACATATCATCAGTACCTAACACAATATATAGGGTGAGCCAAAGTTCAATCGAGATACTCTAACACAATATATGAAACTTAACAAAGTTATAAGGTGAGAATACACATGCACACAATTTGTCAAACATTCCTCATTTTTCATCTCAAAACTATGCAATGCCAGATTATGAATCAATTCATGAAAATAATTATTTTATAACAGAAAATAGGACAGTGGATACAAAACACTAGGGATCTCTAGGTACGTGTTTGCCAGTAGGATATACAAGCACTACCAAAGCTATTTTATCGGTTCTAACCGGAAAGATTGGCACGTAACCGCACGGGTTTCTGGACTTTCACCAAGGACACACAGGCCAACATCATAACCACAACCACACTCCCTAACCAGATTCACCATGGTATTCACCTATTTTTTTCAAAAATAAATACATTTTCAATGTTCAAGTATGGAACGATTCTCGATACACAATGAATGAGAAATTAGTTTCAATTTAACCTAATCCTTATGCAATTTCTACAACAATCAAGACTATCCTCCATTGATAGCCCAAAACAGATATTTCTACTCAACAAATAATTTTTCAACAACAGATAAAATCTCATAAATTTCAAAATGGGAGCGATAATAAATATCCGACTCCACTCTCATCATCAACAAATACATTCTCTATATCTTTTTAAAGCCCAACATCTTTTCCTTTACTTTTATAAACCAAATATAAAGGATTTTCCAACAAAATCTCCTTTGTTATTTAAAATCTCATTTAAAGAGTAAGTTTCCAAAATTTCAACACAACCCAACAATATACATCCTTCCACGACATTCTCAAACATTTATTTGAAAAGTCCCTTTTTTATTTTCCAAAAACCAAACCCTAGGTTCAACCAAAAACCCCCAAATCACTAATCCTTTTCAAAAAGCAAATAACTAAACTAAGAACCATATTAAAGGTTGAAGAAATCCCTACCTCAAAGTAGAAGACGAGAGAGAAAAAGGTAGAAGCTTGGTGGAGCCGAAAACAACTCCTCCTCCGATTAGAATAAAGCCCTCGACGTGCTCAACATTTTTCTCCAAAGGGCTAGGGTGATGAAACCAATGAATTAGGAGTATTTGGAGCTAGAAAGTAAGAACTAGAGAGAGAGAGAGTGACGATTTAAGGTTTTGAAATGTTTAGAGAAAGAAATAAATAAAAAAGTGACTCAAAATGGCCTACTCTCTGACTGATATACGCGTAGACCACTGGAGCAACCAAAACACCGTTCGAGCGTCAGACACAATAAATGACACTGCTTGAGTGATCAAAAACACCGCTTGAGTGCACAATGACCCCCTCCCAGAAGTTTAAACCTGCAAAAGATTGCCCAAATGCAAGAAATACTGCTTGAGTGATGATACCACACTTCCTGTAGTTTTATAGACTGTAAAAGACCGCTTGAGCGAACATGCAAAAATCTGGGCAACAACTCTTTGAAAAACTAATTTCCCAACTTGTTTCAAATGCAAGCACAACTCCCAAATAACCAAACTCAACTACTAACAAGATGAAAATGAAATGAACAATAATTAAGGACATGGATTCTCGAATTCAAAAGCAAGAATGGATCAGGTTTAAACCGGAATCGTTATAGGTCCATTTAATTTTTGAGTTGGAATTGGAATTTAGCTTTGTAGTCCAACCCAATTCAGCTTGCTATTAATTTAGTTATTTTAGATTTTTATTAGTTATTTATGCAATAGACCGAGAAAATATGCAAACACCTATTGTAGGGCTTTAGTATTATGCATATAACTTTTTTTGTTTGGTTTTTCTTAATCAACTAGAGTTCAACCACTGTAATTCACTCTTTTCCATTGCCCTTTTGTTTGATCTCTTTTTCTCTAGCCCCCCATCATTTCTATCACTGCTTTTATTTTTTTCAATCTATGTTTTATTTTTCATCATATTAACTATTAACTATTTGTTGAAGTATGTTAGTGACTTGTTTAAGCCAACATGATTGTTTACCGGTTTATTTGTTAATATAATTTTTCCATCTCCGTTGCAGATTGCAATGTTAGATTGTACGATTTTTAATCCATTTTTAAAAATAAAAACAAGTTTTCTTGCATTTTAAAAAAAGGGAAAAGAAGTCCACATCTATGGGTTAGGTGAGAGAATTTGGAAATTATATTTTCTTTAGGGCCGAGCTTGGATAAACATAAAGTCCCTTATTAAGTAGTGCTAGTCCAGCTCTTCACAGCAAACAGCCACCTGTAAGTACAAGTGACAAATTTTTGTGTTAGAAAATGGGTAATTAGTAAGGAAAATATTTTTGTCACAATAACTAGTATAGGCCATGGAACATTTCATTGAAATATTTGCATTTCGTTGAATATATATTTTTATTTCAATTTAACATAGGGAATTGCTAATGAATAGCCTTCACCTTTTATCTTAGGACTCCCACCTTTTTTATTTTTTTTATTACAAATTTATCTTAACATAAAATACATCTGCCGTGTAAATTTGACATATTAACAGTATGCCCACCCCATGTCATAGAAAGTATCATTTTTATGGCGAACAAAGCAAGTCGTAAAAAAGTTGGCAATATTACCATCCACGGCGTATGAAATGCACATGCCATTATTAGGATATTACTTATGAAATGAAGAAAAGAAAGTCATAAAAGTGAAAAATTACGGCTTGCATTTATTGTTTG